ACACACAATGTGGAAAATACGTCGTGCACGATTCACTAACACATCGTCAGTCGCTGAAGAATTATTATAAACTTATGAACTAGATTCATCATGCCCATTGCCTTTCTCTCACCCAAGTAGCACCGGGGCACGTGAATGAGATCCTGGCAATGGACATGGAAAGGGTTAAATCTGAAAATCCTGATCTAAAAAAGATATTAGTATATCTAACGAACTAATATTTTTCAATTCAAGATCTATTTATTTTATTTCAAGCTTTAATAAATTTAATTTATAAATTTAATCAATTCTTATTAATTTTAGAAAGCAAAAATGTAAAAACAATAAATAAGAAATTTATTTTGAGAATTAATAATATATAATTGACTCTGAATGGAAATTTATTCATATTATTATTATATTTATAATATATTCATTAATAAAAATAACCTCAGGCGATTTCGTTATCAAAGCACATTTTCAAAAATATATAAAAGAAATATTCAAAACTTGTAGCTTTGATTTCAAAATCTGCCTGTCGCGAAGTGTCTTCTTGCATATAATATTTGATGTATTTTTAAACAAGAGAAATAAAACTATTATCTTTACTATTTATTTAATTTATGTATATATATATATATTTAAATATTTGACGTTTGTAAATATGCTTTAATAGATTACAATAATTTATTTTTAGATAATGAACTAATATCATTAAAAATTATTAACATTTAAAAGCATAATATACAAGAAGACCTATCCTGATCTAATAAATAAAACACAAGAAAAAAATGTTACTATTCACGGGTATAATAAATACCCGCGGTCACTGTGCTCGTGCAAAAATCTACGTATACAACCAATTACTCGTGTCGATTCGGATCTTTCATCCTACGACATGATTGAGTAATCAGAGGAACATAAATGCATGCGACTCACCAATGATGCGAAGAATCTGCACTCATAGGATGTCATCGCCCAATAATCAGGAAATGGAAACTGTAACACATGGAACATTATAATTAAAATACAATTCTATTTGAAAAAATTGAAGTAAGTGGAAAATAAAAATAATTACCTCTTCGCGTGATGGATGATCGCCTTATTCTCTTGAGAAACACTGACTCTATCTCGAAAACAAATATTAAAAAAAAAAAAAAAATAAAAATAAAAAACTATCAACTATATTTATAATTTATAATTGGCGGACAAACACTGACTCTAATTTCACGACTATCATATTATAAGTTTAATTAAAACTAACTAAAAAAATAAAACTTTGTTTTCTAAAAATATTTAAGAAAACTATAACGAAGCAAACACTGAATCTACCAACCGCATTGCGCGCGGTTACAAAAATTCTCTGGAAATAAAATTATATTAACAATGGAAATCTACAGAAAAAGAAACAAAATAATCTTTCTATATTTTATTCTTTTTCTATCGAATATTTGGTTCAGAAAATATTACCATTATTTGAAATTATGAATTTATTATTAATTTTATTAATAATTTTTCATGAATAAAAAAATGTCATATATAAAAAATAGATCATATGTAAGAATATATATTTTTATAGAGAATTTATCTTTTAAACAAAAATATTAATATTGGTGAATGTTCATTATAAAGGTATAAATATACTTTAAAATAATAAAGTATATTATAAATTCCATAAAATAGAAACAAAATAAATACATACAGTACAGAAGGTTCTCTTTAGAAAAGTACGATGGCGTCCATATTGGAATTTTTCCCGCCTTTAATGTTGGCCAATAATCAGGTAATAATCTGTACAAAAGAAAATAAAAATTTTCAAATAAACACATAAAATGTATAAAACTAATAGATCACATTAAGATAATAATAAAATAAAAAAATAATCAAGCACAAATTCTATTTGAAAAAGTTATAATATGAACTAATTGGAATTGTAACCGTCAAAAAAACGAACAAAGAAAAGGGAATAATTTAATCCTTAAAAGATTGAATAATAATGTATGAATAATAAATAATATATAATTTTGAAAGGAAATATATAATATATACATACTACGTAGCAAATAAATCACTTTAAGAAGAATCACCTCAAAAAGAATCACTTCAAAAGGAATCACGTCAAGAAACTTCTGATCACCACCAATATCGATAGTACAATGACGCGTCACCTTACAATTTCGATTATCGAATCGAATTAGAGAAAGGGAAGGGGAAGGTGCGCGTCGTTCGGAAAGTCAAACATGTCGAAACGTGTCGAAAACATGTCGAGCGTAACAAAAACATGAACGCCTGATTTCTTGGAAAGACAATGTTATGAAAAATGTTATTATGTTATCGACCTCGAGCACAATATCGAAGGAAAAAGAAAAACATATAAACGAATGACGCATTTAGAATCGCAATATGTACCATTAATGTAATATAGTTCGATAATTCGATAATTCGATAAAATTGACTTTTTACATTCATTTCAATATGGATGAAAAATATAGGAATCTATTCTAAATAAATCTATCTTTAAAATATCAAAAAGCTACAAATCGTGATGGTATGTACATGCTATAAATCATTTCTCTTTCAGCTATTCAACTATTCCGAAAATAGAATAATAATTTCGCCGAATGAAAATCAAAATCGTAAAACAAATGAACAAAAAAATTATAATTATATTAAAATGAAGCAACAAGTGAATTCAACTTTCGATTCAATGAAGTACAAACTACCGGTAACGTCGACATTAACGATCAACGAAAAAAGTACAAAAACTCAAAATATTAATTAATTTCGTTATTATAATAATAAGTGGATTATTAAATAAACAAAACTAATATTAATTTATAAATTTTATGATAGAATATGAATAAAATTACTTACTGCGCAGTCGAATTACAGAAGCCGGGAACAAACGACACACATCCTCACTCGATGACTTTTCACAGGAGACTGACGCCATGATTTGCCTACTCGCTTTCTGATTGGCTGACGTCCAATAGGCTAATTCGATAATCGAAATCGCGCGGAAAATTAAAGCATTATATAATATTTTAATTATTCTAATTAATAATATATTAAAAATAAATTATTAATTTATTTATATTTATTTATATTCATTTTACAATTATTAATTATTTGTTCGATTTCTATATTTATATTTTTCTACTATTCATTTATTGATTTATTTATCGATTATCGATTTATCGATTACTTAATAATTTATTCATCTATTTAGTAATTTATTTATAGATTTTTTATAAACTTCTTTACTTTATTAATTTATTTATGCATCTTAATTTTTTTATTTAATTTTTCCTTTTTTTATATCTAGTTAGTGCTTGCATTTTTCATGACGTTGAAACTTTTTATACTTACTTATCGATATAAAAGTTTCGATGTTTTCCCAAGAGATGGCAAAACCAATCAAGAATCGTTAAAAAGTTCTAAATACTGTCAATAAAAAAATGTGAAAATATAATTTAAAAGAAGTGAAAAAAATTTATTTACGTTATTAGATATATAAATTTTTGTTAAAATTTTAACACTTATCTATACTTATACTTATTTTTTGCATATTTTCTTTTTATAAGTTCCATTTTTTGCATTGAACACATGTGAGTATATTATCTCTAATAATAATTGAATCATTTAACATAGCAAATATTTGAAGAAAAATATACAAAATATTGAAAAACAACAAACTTGTATAATAATTCGAAAGTTTTTAACAAAAATTTCAGAAAATTTAACAAAATTTAAAGCTTAAAAAGGATATTGTATTCTTATACTGCACTCGACTAGTGCTGTCATCATGTGGTATAATACGGAATTATATGTAATTTTATTTATGGTGGTATTTACAATTGTGTTTTAACTTATTATAATATATTTTATTTTACTTATTATTATATATTACTATATGTTATTCTTCCTCTAAAATTTAATTAAAATTGGAATTATAATATAATTAATAAAAATTTCAGCTATCAATAATTTCAATCATTTATAAATTATCCATCATTATAACCTAACATCATTAATACCTAATGTTATTTCTAAAAAAGGATTATGTTTAATGATATAACCAATGCATAAGGTATCTATGACGCAGTTTATTATACAATTACAATACTCTTACTAATCATATTGTGATAATGATCGTAGTAATAGTATATTCTAGATAACATGAAATATTCCAGATTGATATGATTTTATTTATACAGTTCCATTAACGCACATTCATACATCCCTTTTCCTTTCTCTCAATCCTTTCGCTCAAACTTCCGGTGAATCCTTTCAAGATCAACGCGGAATATTTAGGGCGGACATCAGAAACACGCTTCGCGGATAATTAATTGCTAATCATAGTGCATCCCATGGCATGAATTCTCATAACCATAGATATGCGTGAACGTTTTAAAAAGGTCGCAAATCTCACGAACACGCTTCTAAGTCTTGGTACAAAATAGTTTAGACGACTTTGTCATCGAAATATGGACTATTCTCCATTCTTATGATTTTAATCTTTTTTAAGAACTATCATACCGTGCTCTTTTTTTTTTTTTTTTTTTTTAATTTTTCTAAATCTTTTCTTATCTTCATTTAGTTTCTTATGGTTACCTTTTAATGGTACTTTTCTCTTATTATTTAATGTTATTTCTAGGCATCGAATCGAACGATGTCACACGTGTCCCAATATTTATGAGTAACACATCGAATTGTTTAATAATAGGCTTCTATATAACGCTAGATTTCTCTCAAAAGACAATTATACACCGCTACTGATTGAGATTAATCGATTAATTCTCGATATATCAATGTCATCTTGAAAAAAAATGCACCCCTTTGTAATTGCACCATATTTTTTTCGTAATTTTTAATGTTATTTCGCATAGGTATTTATAAAGAACGCGATGGGACGGTAGGAGCAAAATCGTACGCGTTTTTATATTAATTTTGACGAATCTTCAAATATTTAACAAAATATTTTAAAAATCAGGTCAACACAATAGAAAATAATTTTTCAATCAAAGCTTAAAAATTAAGATTTATAATAATTAATAAAATATTATCAGATATCTGTAATTTATACGGTGTTGCAATTGATATTTATCTTTTTAATCCAAATAATAAATCTACGTAATATCGCTAAAAAAGAATAAAATTTATTTAAAAAAAAAATAGAACTCACAATAAAACTCATGCAATTTATGTCGTTCTTATTCTATCGATGAAATATAAAGGAAAAGACTTTAGGATTATTTTAATATTCCATATAAAGAAACAAAAATAGGAAACAAAGGATAGACAAAAAGAAAACGGAGAAACAAAAAGTAACTGAAGTCTATCTAGCACTTTTATTTTCAAATAATAAAAGTTAAAATATAATGAAATAATAATAATAATAATTAATAATAATAATAATAATAATAATAATAATAATAATAATAATAATAATAAGAATAATTATAACCATTGTAATAATGCTTCTATCATTACTCATTCATGGAATGCGCCGGCTTATCGAAGCCCACGAAAAAATAATTAACCAATGACACGTTGATCAAAGGGTGCGGGAATCGTGGGATTCGGTTTTTCTAATCTCTCTTCTTATCTACAAAAAACACTGTACACCTTCGACGGACAAGGAAGAGGAGAGATAATAGAAATAGAAAAAAGGAAGAAGATAAGAAAAACGCAAAAATGTCCCTCACACTCACACTCTCTGTCATTCATACTTAATTTTCAATTATCCCATTCTAACATTTGAAATCACGTTCTCTTCGCTATCTAACGATTTCTTTCTCCCGTTTCTATCGTTTACACACCTGTTGATCGCGTTTAATTTAATAAAACGTCTACATAACGCACTCGCAACTGGTGCTCTAGGAACTCTTTTTTTTTTTTTTTTGTATCTTTCTTCGCGAAATTCTCTCTCATTCTTTATTTTCTCTCATTCACACTTCTGTTTCGCTACAACTTGGTCCACGACTCTGGGAGTTAATGATTCGAAGTGAAACGAAATTTAAAAGATCGATCGAAGGGATGCAAACTGAATGTTGTAGAATTATGGATGGTGAAAAAAATGGGAAATGATTGGGTTGTGTATTTAGGTGTGTGTGTGTGTGTGTGTGTGTGTGTATGCAGATGTGAAATATGATTTGAGAACGAAATATCGTATGCATGATCGATTAGAGATCTCGTCTCGTACGCGTTTAAATACATACATACGTATATACAAATGCTATATTACATTATATATAATCACGTGTCCACGGTATATCAAAATATGTAAAATATATTTTGACGTATCGTGTGATTGATGTATCATTTATAGAAAATTATATATAACATAACATAATATAAATATACGCATGTTCGACACCATATTGCGTGTATAAAACTCTTGCAACAAATGATTTAATTCGTTGACGTTACTCGATCATAAGTACGAGAGAATATTGAGAAATCGTGTTAACCAGAAATAAATCTCAATGTCAAGAAGAACGTATTTAGTAATTAATGTAATGTATCATAGTTATCGCTACTTATCACCACTTAAGAACAACGATGAGTTTTCATTTCCTTATCTATATAATATACATCGTGGAAATCAAATCATCCTGTTTCACTATCAATCGCGATTTCAGATCAAAATTGAATATTTTATATATATATAAAAGATATTTAATTGTATTATATTTATTCTATCATGATAAAGAGATACATATTTGATATTTTCTCTCGAACTTACAATCATTTCAACGACTAACGTTATCCAATGATATTCTATGATTAAAGATTAACTTAACGATAAGCGTCGCAATAATAAGAAACGATCGTCACAATGAATAAATCCGCCGCAGATTCACTAAATCACCGTTCTTTGCCGATTCTCTCTATTATTTACAACACGTTACACTTTATACATTATATATTTATGTATATGTATATACATATGTATATATATATATATGTATAGTATGTATATATTTATACATATTATGTATGTTCTCATCTCATGCGCAATTGCGTCTACATCTTTCTTGTCATGTGTGTGCTTATGCACCCACGTACACACAAATAACATAACATATAATATATATATACGTATATCGATGATTCTTAGCATACGGCGATTACAATTACAAATTTCTACGTATGTAAATTCCTTCAAATTATTATTTACCGACGTAATCACCATTTTTTTTCGTTTTATTCCTTTCGTCGCAACAAGATTATAATCTTTAATTAATTAGAAGAGGGAGAATTCATTCATCGAAGAATCGATTTCCAGGCTTCCAGAATGAAAGTTCACGCGCCATAAGTCACGTGGGCGTTTTTCAAACGCGAAAATGACGGGAAAGCGAACTTTCGAATCAAAGAAACCATCGATATCGACTCGTACAAACATATACGTGGAATAATTCGCTGATAAAACTGTCTCTATATACCGTATGTACATGTACAGAACGTATCTACAATTGCTAATCTTCGTGTCTGTCCAAAAAGCAAAGAATACGAGCGCGCTCTTGTTCATCCCCTTAGGAATCTATCTTTTATTTACTTCTTCTTTTATTTTAATTAAACGTCACACGTATTTGACGATTAGGCATGACGATACTTTGGCTTGAGTGATTACGATTCGTCGTAAAATCGATCGTCCAAAGATCTTCGACTTCTTCGACGATGAAGATGAATGAGCCCATTCCTCGTATTCCCTTCGATTCTCCCTTCTTTTTTTTTTTTTTTTAAATTTATTATTACGCCTCGTGCACATTTCTTCCTATATGTACAAACTCAGGACACGGATATGTATGACGACAGACACGCAAACGTGTGCGTAATTATATACAAACGTATTGTCGGACCTCGCCGCATCTTTGCCAAATGCAAGGCTGCTTAAAACTCGAAGATCGAAAGTTCGTCTGATCTTAATTACGTTCGATAATTATGTTCGATGAAAATAAACGCTATAATATCTATAAAATCTAATTAATGTTATTAAACCAATTAATTTTTTATTAGAAGAAATCATAATCTATCGTTCGGTTGTCGATGTTTAAGTTTAAGTTTCTTCGATGGCAGTGAATATTCAAAAATTTTTGCGATGTAATTCTGTTTCAATACAAGCAATACACCTTTCGATCCTGAAGATTCCCTTGCAAGTGGCATGTAAACCCTGCTTACCACGAAGAAGTGAAAACTTTGAAGAGCGTTCGCCATCCTCGAAAGAACCGCCTCGATCAATTCAATGAAATGGCATAAACGGAAGGTTTATCGTTCCTCCAACGTGTACTTTTTCGTTGTTCGTTGTTATTTCAATCGTGTGTTCCGCCGTGATTTTACTCGAGAAGGAATTCGAGAAGTATCTTGTCTTTCTTTATTTCACAATCTCGAAAAGTTGATAGAATTCTTTGAAATTGTGAAACAATATAATGCAATATGTAGTCGAAGCGACGTTGGATCACTCGATAGATAAAAGAAAACTCGCAAAGGAAAACCAATCGATAATGATACGTATCGTCGAATAGTTTCCCCTTGATGAATATTTCATGATAATTCAAATAAGTCACAGAAATTAATTAAAATTTTAATGTTATCCGTTTGCTGTATATCATATTAATTGTAAATAAACGTTGAACGGCGGCAACGATCCTGCACCACATACTATGCAAAAACGAGGACTTCAAAGCTGTTTCGTTGTATTTTAATTCTCAGTCAAAGTTGAGCCGCATTATTTTTCTAACAATAATCACATTAATTCTGACAAGCTTCGAAGTCTACGTTCCACATAATTTCAATCAAAATTTCGAAGATAATACTGTGAGAATAATAATAAAAAGTATTATTTAACGAAATACGAAAATTAAAATTGTCGAATGTGTTCTACCTTCTATGTATTTTTAAATAACTATCTAAAAGTCTCTCGTCGACGTTTCATCTTTCTCCTCAACGTCTCTTCACGATTCGTATACTCTTCACGAGATACGTTATACCTTGAATGATATTCGAGGAAACCAATGATATTTTCTTCTCCGGCAAATGTTCCTCTTCTCTCCCCATCCTCTTCCCAAATGAACCTCTTCCAAAGACTTCTTGACATCAGGATATGTTTTTCTTTGAATCGTATCATGCCGTCTTCGTCCACTCCACTCACATGGCCCTGTATTGCTCGAACCCGTCGGTTCCATCGCGCCAAATTCCCTTTGGCAACGAAATCGGTGGCGGGTTTTCGCCAAATCGTCGCTGAACCATCGCCAGCGATTGGCCACCCAACGGATTAGTGATAGAACTCGGGTAGATTGCACAAACGTCGTTGCTGTTGCTGCTGCGATTGTTGATGCTGTTGATGAAAATGTGTATCCCCTGGATGGGCGGGCTGTTGGTGTCACTCGTGAGACTTGCCGCTAAGTGGATGGTAGTTTCCACCTGCTGATGCGACCAGGGCAAGAGGTAAAGGTGAACCGAGGGGTGTGGGGTGGGGGTGAGAGTGGCCCATGCCCGAGGAATGCGTCGTGAGCGCGAGAGGGCTTCCTGACATGGAACTCGCAAGTGATGCGAAAACCGATGGTGCTGGGGACGCCATTGTTGGGCTACCCATCGCCGCTGTTGGTGGATTGATCCTCTTCTCTTTTTGTCGTCTGTAATGGGATAAAATATGATTAATAAATATATTAAGAAGAAGAGGAGGGATTACTTAAAGTTTATTTCTAATAATTTCAAGGAGAATTAATGAAAACTCTTTATAAAATTATTTTAATAAAATAATAACAGTACACTACCTTACAGATAATCTTACCTATTGCAAAACCACACTCGAACCACTTCCTTTTCCATGGCCAAACTGTCTGCTAATACAGTAATTTCTTCCGAGGTGGGTTTTGGATTTTGTACGAAAGCTTTCTCCAGTGCCACCCTCACGCTCGTTTCTATCGATGTCCTTTTTTTCCGCCGCCTACCGATGGCTTCCGGGGTTGTGAGCGGGTTCGAAAGTGAACCGGGATTGTTCAATGAATTGTCTGCATCCTCCAGCCATTTTTGTAGGAGGGGTTTCAACTTGCACATATTTTTGAAGGAAAGATTTAACGCTTCGAACCTGATGAATATATAACAAATCCATTGATCGTTAATAATATAAAATCGTGATATAAAACCGTTTATCCTTTCAATTGTCAGAATTATGAAAGATACGCACCTCGAGATCGTTGTCTGGGAAAAATCGTTTCCGTAAAGTTTTCCCATGGCGAGGCCAACGTCGCCTTGAGTGAAACCAAGCTTGATCCGCCTCTGTTTGAAGGTCTTGGCGAACTGTTCTAACTCCTCGAGATCCGTGGTCTCTTCCGGCGACGGTTCCAGCCTTGGAGGTGGTTGTTTCACAGCTGGAGGTGTGCCAGGAGGCGGAGGTGATCTTTGTTGCGCTAAACTTCGACCAACTAGGCCTCCGCTTCCTTGAACAGCCTGCTGCTTCTGGAGAGCTTGCAGTTGTTGGGCTGCCTGCACCACTGCCTGCTGCACCTGACGACACGCGATTAAATTTTTCTCTTTTTTTCTTTTTTTTTTCTATTAAGCATATAGATGCACATCAAACGATTACGTGTTAGGACAAATTATACATTCAAGGATTTTGCTTTGTATATTTGGTTTTTTTTTTTTTTTAATGGTCTGTCGTACCTGCATGGACTGTGAGCGCGGATGACTGGATCTTGAGGAGTAGCCACCGCTCTGCAACAGCCCCTGCAAGACGTTGACGACCATTGATCGAACATATAGCACACTATTACAATCGAACTTCGATAACTTGAACTTCTTCGAGCGAAAAATTAAAATTTTCAAGTTGTGGATTTCTTATCGATGTTTTCCTTTAAAAAGAAAAAATTTAACGAAGAAAAAAATTCTATTTTCAGAGATCGTTAAAGGAGATAACGATCGAACGATCGATGACGAGTTAAAAAATTAAATTTACATCATTTATTTACAAAGGTTTTCGAGTTATAGAAGTTCGACCGTACTATATATCAATTATAGTTATTGTCCTATTCTATTTTAATTACATAAAAAAAAAAATTCCTCCATCAATTTCTTCATTTCCTGAACAAACCGTAATTTACACCCGGAAATCAAATGATCTTAATTAAAAGTACACTTTTAAATTTCGAAAAAAGATTATAGAAAGATGTTAACAAATTTAAAAAGTTTGATGTTCACTTTTCATTGATGGATATCACAGATTTCCATCAGAAAGTTAACATCATTATATTTTAACCTACCATTTATTTATATTTCTTTACTTAAATATCTCATATATCAACTCTCATATTCACCACAGTAAACAAAGTTTGAAAAAAAATCTTTCCATTGTTATATCCATTAAAATTCCATCAATGATTTGACATCGATGCAATTCATTCAATACCATTGTGAGTTTTTTAAAAAAAAAATATTCTATCGCTCGTCGAGCATGGAGATCTGTAAACCTTCGGATAAATGGTTAAGCTGTTACACGCATGGTGATGGATCAAGCGGTTTCTATTAGAAAGGCGACACGTGTTGCGCCCATGGACAGGTACGAGAGGAGTCGCCGAAGGGGCGGCCGGACCGATCGATTATCTTCACCCTTTTCTTAACCAGATGCTCGATTACGAGAATAAGGGGCTCGTGCGAAACGAGTCGCCCGAGGAGAAAAAGGGTTGGGGGGGGGGGGGGACTTGGTCGCGTGTCGAGCCTGTTTATGCTTATTGTCGAAGACCCCGCGAAGACACCCTGCGAAGGGTGCTTGGAATACAGAGCCACGTGTCGTCGCTACACAGGTTCGGAACAAGATTCACCTGTCCATTTACAATTCTTTCCAATACGAAATATTCTTCTTCTTTTCTTTTCTTTTTTTTTTTAATTTACATCTCTCGGAATATAAAAATTAGAAAGCATGACTGATTCGTATTACTTCCTGCATCTCTAGAAAATATTGTTTCCCTCGATCGTATCGTTGAAACGAATCTGGTGAAAGCGATGCACAATAATAATTGCGGTGCATAAATAATTCGAAATAATGATTATGGACGACGGTGATGATAAGATCTTTCGGGAAAGCGAACGAAACGATTCGGCAAGTTCTCCTTTCGATCTTTGGATATAATATTCAGAGAATTGTTTCGAACTCGAGACTGTTACGCGTCTCTTACGGCCGAAAGGAATCGAATCGGACCACGATGTATCCATCGTCCTACGTTAATCCTTGAGAAAAAAGGATCCCGCGCGCAGGTTGCAGGAGCAACCCGCTCGAGGAAGGGGTTGCACGATCGAGGACGTCGTGTGTCCGCATCTCTGATACCGCCACTGTTCTCGAATGAAAGGGAAAAGAAACAAGAGGGATCCCTCGATTCGATGTAAACGGAGAGAGAATGAAGAAGATGAAGGAAGAGAAGACGAAGGGGTAGAATAGGGGGAAGGAGAGAAGAAACAGGCTGGCCACGTGTGAGGTAACAAAAGGCACCCCGTGGCAAGGTGCCGAAGGGGCCGATGGATCTCCTTGTTGCACCTTTCAAAGGAGACACGGAAGAAGACCCGGCCTTAATCCTCGCAGCTACGTATACCACGGCCATTAAATCTGCTCAAGTTCGTTCGAAGTCGTTTTGTTAGTTTTTCCACGAGGTTACGTAGAAGCGTGCACGCGCTTCATGGTGATGGAATCTATAGAAACTTTTTCGTAAACACGAAGAGCCCGAAGGCCCCATTCAATCGGGCCTGGGATGGGAAGGTGGGGGGTGAGGGAAGGTGAGGATCGGTCGAGGATCCAGGAAGGAGGATCGTTTTTCATCGTGTATTCCCCGGATATATCGATTTTTCTTACTTCGATTCGGTGGATCTTCGCGGGACAAAACGAACGATATATTCGGGGAAAACGTTCCTCTTTGCGAGGATGCAGGTGATGAATGCATTTGCTTTTCATTTCTTTCCTTTTTTTTTTTTTTTTCCTTTTTTTCCTTCTTTGATCGAATGGCAAGATGAAACGGTCAAAGTTTCTTTTGAACGAAAGAAAAATGGATAAAGAGTGTCTTTAAAAAAAGACTATTTTTAAGATCAAATTATAATTTTTGTATTATAATCTTTTCCATTACTTTTCTGTAATATCTGTACAGAAGAATAGAAATAATTTTAAAATTTCTCAAACACAAGGAATTATCACAAATATTATTAGAACAGAAGAAAACTTTTTTTAACTGCATTTAACTGCATCCATTCATCCCTCGTTCGTTTCACCCCTACAGAAGAATCTATCTATTACCCGCAAATATATTTTCTCTCCAACTCTTTCGATTCTAATTATTCGACGATCACGTTTTTCCACGGGGAGGAGCTTTCCAGAGGAGGGGCGCGTCGCGGGGAGAAAAGGCGAGGCCAAACGAGTACAAGTCCCTGTCCCTTTGTGACATCTCCAGCCGGCTATCTCCTCGTCAAATCGAGCGGACCGTCCCCGAAGAATAAGACGTCTACTTCTTCTCGGCCGGTCGATCAGATACCGCGCCGAATGGAACGTCGTCTCTGGCTCATCCACCTCTGGCCATCCCCGCCATGCCGATTCGAATCGAATTCGCGTCGAGTGGGTAATTCGGCCGAGTATCAAGGGAGAACAATGGCGCCGGAATTCGAGTTCACGAGGATGCATTTGTTCGCGCTCCCGGAGTGATTCCTTTGCCAGAAGATAGAAGGGCCGCGACTCTTTCGACTCTTGGAATCTTTGTGTGTGAACGCGGGAAAGGAGAATTGGTGGAGGAGGCGAGAGGAATCATCATCTTTGATGCGAGATTATTCTGTGTTTTCTTTTGAAGGAGGAAAGAGATGGCCGAACGATTTTATTTAGAGATTGAAGTTTGTGAAATTTTAATAGAAGGAGGATGGTGAGATATAAATTTTGATTTAATAGTATAATGATGTAAATAGTGAAATTTTTAGTGACAACTTAGCACAACAATCGTGTCTCATGTGTAATCTTCCTTTAGTATTCGAAATTCTGTATATTCGTTTGATTTCGACTAATTTAAAGGAAGTTTTTTAAACAGTTTATAATATTCGTGTATATCATACGTAATTTCTTAAAATTATTTGTTCGATTTTCATTATTTATTTTTATACTATTCTGACTACTTTACTGAATCAAAGAAATAAAAAGAACCTCTTATATTCTTACCTCGTGTGATTAATATTTAATTTTATAGAAACCAAGTAATATTGATTTAATAAACAAGATTGATCTTTTATTCTCTCTTAAACTAAAAAGAAAAAGTTTTCACAAACCTGATTCTGCAAGAAGAATTGCGCCTGAGCCGGAAGTTGACCCGCAGCAGCCGAATTTGCTTGCTGAAACATGGCCAACTGCTGCAACTGTTGCTGCAGAGACTGCTGTTGCTGTTGAAACGTGGAGGCCAACGCCTGGATCTCCTGAGGTCCAAGGGCGCCCAGAGATCCGTGCATCAGTAATTGTTGGCTGACTAGTTGAGCAGCCAGTGCAGCTTGGGAGTTGCTGCTGTTCTGCTGGCCTGCCGTGTGTTGTTGCTGCTGATGACTTCCGGTTATCTGACTGCTCACCCCGGAACTAGGCGAAGAGGCGCTACCGCTGGTACCACTGCTGCTGTTACGATGCGACACGTCTGTGACCTGAAGCATATTTAATTATTATACATATTTAATGGATGTGACAATTAATTACCACAATATTGCATATGCAAGAATGAGAAGAGTTAATAATTTGCAGGAAGGTAATGGAAACGTTGTAAATCGTATGCGTAAGTGAAAACAAGAATAATATTATTCACGATGGAGTGTTACGTATTTTGTTGCACATATTATATCATTCAAAGAAAATGGTAATGATATTTTAAGTTGATTTCGTCTCTTCAAGATAGAAGAATTGCTTGAGATATTAAATTATTCCTTTTAGGGGAAAATTGTGATAATATTAAAAAAAGAAAAAGAAAAAGATAGATCTCCACGGAATTTCGTGAGAGCCGCGGAAGATTCACCCTCCCTAATGTTACAGAGTAAACGACATCGAACAAAGCCCTGTTACACTCGACCAGGTCAGGATATTGGTCACTACGGTCCATCCTGCGCTTTTGTGTTTTATAAAACCTACATCCCTCCCATTCGCCCTTCCATCCAGCTAGTGGCTTCCTTTATTTATTTGCCAAATATTGAACGGGAGCACTTTTCCCGCTCTTCACGAATGACTATAAAATAACCCAACCCCCCTCCCCCCTCCCCCCACCCCTTGTCATCACTTTGAAACAAAGGAAAGTTTTTCACAGAGCGGAAGCGTCGCCGGGAAAAATTCTAATCACATCTCGGTACAAGGGAAAAAGAAGAAAAATATGATACACCAACCAGATTAAGAGCTTCCCTATCCGAGTCCATGGAATCATGGTCGAGGTTCGCCTCGGTGGCATCTTGGATATCACTCGTGATACTCCTGTCGTCGCCACTGAGTTCGGGTCCGTCCACCTCGCCATGAAGATCCGCATCTGAAAGAAGAAAATAAGATTCGATTATTATCGTCCAATAGCGCGTTAATCGGTAATTAAACGAGAAAATTCGACGAGAGGAAGGCGGAGAAAATGCCTCGGTCGAATTTTAAAATTTCCTCGAACGGATTCAATGCGATTCGAATCGTACAATCGTTGTTGTTCTGCGGCCTATACTTCCGGTGGTGGTAACGCGTGGGGGTGGAGGTCGGCGTGCTGGTCGCATGGAGTCGCATATCCGCAAAGATCATCCTCGGGTCTTCAAGGAAGACCATCTTAGCCTCGAATACCCTCGAGGTCACATCGGGTTCGTTTCCAAGATCCAGCACAACACGTGATATCGTGATCCTCCCTCGCCGATTAACTATCTTCCCTTTCCCCCAAGTTTCTGCTGCTTCCGCATCGCGACGGAAGATCACCTCACTTCTCAGCAAGTATCGAGAAAAATCGATAATCGTGAGAATCGAATTTTATTTATAAACCAGGTTCATAAATAAACGTAATATTCTGAATAAAAAAGAAAGAAAAAAAAAAAAAAAAGAAAATGAACTTATTTACGTACAATCGAGATCGAGATTCTTTTTAATAAATCGAAAATATACGAAATTAATTAATTAATGAATAAGTAAGTGAAAAATAATTAAAACACCCTTCACTGTCGGTACCAATCTGGACTGGAAATATTCCAATGCAGCTTCCAAGGGCAGGAGAGGCAAGGAATCCTCGTCCAAGGACCGATACAGAACGAATGTCAGAATGACGCAACGAAATCGTGCCCCTAAGGACGCACGAACCCCTCCCCACCACCACGAAGGCGCCAAGGGCCTCGATGATTGGTCGTACGCATTCCAAGTTCGCGTATGATTGGCCATCCCGGAAAAAAAACCCTTTGGCCCTTCCTCCCCTCCCCCTCTCACTCTCCCGCCGCGCGATACAACCCTTCGCGCATCCATCATCGTATCTTATGACTGACCTCCCTCGCCACCCTTTCCTTCGTCTTTCGCCGTACGCGCCCCACGGGGGGGAAAAAAAGGGGTACGTGTCGGATAATGGCACGGAACCGATCCGTTCGGTTCGAGAAAACGGGTTTACGCGCCGTCATTGGTTCCGCGCGCGAGCATAACGGCTTTTAATAATAATTATTTCGCCACGGACGGGTTTGATTCTTGAGAAAGAGGGGTATGGCGAAAGGTTTCACGGATCGGATTTAAATTTGATTTAACAGCTTAGCAGCTTGTTTAAAAAAAGGGAAAAAAAAATGGAATAAAAGATGAAGAAAATGGTACAGAATCGTCGTAATCAGTCAATCGTTGAAAAATTTCTTTCGAAACACTTTCTTTCGTTTTTATTTTAAAAGAATATGATTGAATGTATATAGATCGAATCTTTCATTTCGTTCCCTGTTTGACGATGAGACGATAAGAAAGATTGAGAAATTTCAATTCCTTAAATTTCTCCTAAATTCACAAGGGTGAACAAGAAAAGGCGCGAGAAACAAGAAAGGTCAGTGAACCAAGCGCGCGGAAAGAAAGGAAGTCGCTTAGCCATTTCGATCGTCGAACTTTCCCATCGATGGAGGGACAAGGATCGAGGAGAGGAGTCGAGGAATAGAGATAAACGATCGCGAAACGCTCGTAAAAAAAGCCCGAGATCGCAGGTGGGGATGCTCGCTACTGTGGGACGAAACGAGTAACAGGAGAGGGAGAGAAGGAGAGAGGAGAAAGAAAGAGAGAATAAAAAAAAATTTCAAAATCCTGTGAATCCCGTGAATTCGACGCAAAAGTTTCTCGTGGCTCGCCCCGATTTTCGCTCCTCCGCATCTGTGTGCCTCCCCTTCATACCTGACGTGGATTCCCCTGAAACGGTGGAAAAAAAAAGAAGAAGAAGAAGAAAAAAAACGGTGGAGAGAAAAAAGACGACGACAGGTCAGGTAGAACAGGCCTTAGACACCGAGAGAGCCTCCGTATTGGTGGATTCCCTATAAAATTTCAGTTACTCGTCCTCGTTTTCGTTGAACGGCTGATTACACCCTACCTTCCATCTTTCCTCTACCCTCGAGTAACGCTTATAAGACGCAAAAAGCAGATACACGCGCACACATGCGCGCGAACGCATTGGTTTCCCTTTTCATCCCTGAATTTGCATCGTCGATTCCCCTCTTTTCATAGGAAATTACGCTTTTTTTCCCCTCTCTTCCCGTCCGTGAGAAGCTGCTGCCAAAAAAGGAAGGAGGAAAAGGAATGGAGAGGGGAGAAAGGATTTTTTGGGGTGAATTCCGTCGGTTCCTATTTTTCCACCCTTTTGCAACGTCTCTGCGACTTTGAGAAAAAATAGAAAATAACGTTTATCGACGAAAGTCTACCTACGAGGCACCAGGTGTGAATTTATCCACCAACGGACCACCTAGATAAGGCAACCGTTTCATATTTCTCTCTCTCTCTCTCTCTCTCTCTCTCTCTCTCTCTCTCTCTCTCTCTCTCTCTTCTTCACTCTCTTCTTGGTATCGTCGCAAACTGCAACGCGATTGGTGCTCTCTCGAACAAGCAGGTTTGAAAAAAAAGCGCATCGAACGTTTCAACGAAGCTTCTAGATAGAATAGATCGATGGAATCGGGAGGAGACAAGGAGAGAGGATGGATTCTGGAGGAAGGAACGTTTTGGATGCAACGTTTTTTTTAACGAAGATCCTGGAAAAGATTCGAAAATTCAAACTTCACAAATTACAAGCTTCACGAGAAATCATCTCGATCAAATAAGGGAAGCAATTTTTAAGAAGCTCATACCTTCCACCTACTCCTGCTCGATAATAAGTTAACGACTTTCCAGCTGCATTCACACCAAAAATTCGTATTGTATCGATCGAGGTCCTATCTCGAATCTTCTTTGTCCCGCATCTGCATACATCAGAGGCATTTCTAGGTGCCGTTTCCGAAATGGGGTCGTTGACAATGCTGGTGCCCATGCAATTTCCAACTATTGAGGCCCGTTTAACGTTCGCACGAGTGACACGGTGACCGTCTATCCATCACCCACCCACGTCTCCACGCGGATCCTATCCTGCACGCACACGCAACAGAATCCATTCTGCCGGCGAGCGGCTGTGCAGCTGGATTGGAAATCCTGCGACCTTCGGCGCATCGTCCATTTTTTCTCTTTCTTTTCCCTTTTTCCACGAGTGGAGGGAAAATCGGCCACCGACCTGACCTTCGTCTTGTAAAGTTAGATTTCAGATTTCGGGGAAGAATCGGGACGCATCATGTACGTCAGGTGATAAAAATGGCACAATAAGACACCTGAACTGGAGGAATTTCTCAAGGAAGATTTTTTTGGAAAACATGCGTTTCTTCTACGAATAATCATTTTTAGACGAATTAGATATATTAAATTATTCGTAAATTATTATTGTCGTGAAAAAATATTAAATACAAAATGGTATAAAAGAGAAGAGTATGTGACGTTCTTAATTTTCATTGATATAGATTTTCATACCAAGTCCTTGTCTTTGGAAAATCACGTGGAATATTTTTAACGACGAAACAATTTAACTGTTATCGTTTAATATTTTCACGTGTCTTTGTTAACGATTTTTTTAAGATATATTTAATACACCTTCGTCCAAAAATCGAAGGAAACGAGGAAACACAATTCCACCGTTACAGGTACACGAAAGTTCATTCGTGCAAAGCATGCAAGCCCATTCAGGCGACACGTTGAATATTTCTATCTAATTCAACGGAATGCATCGGATGAATAACGGCTTCTCCGCGACGCAACAATCGCCACGAACTTCCATTTTCTCGATGAATTCTGCCGCGCAACAAAGCTTTCGCCATCCACTCTCTCTCTCTCTTTCTTTTCTCTTCCTCTCTCGATCCTCGATCGCGTGGGATCAACCGATGTTTTTGTTCGTCCAGGCGAGAATAGCCAGCCAACGACGAAGGGCACGTTGCCCTTTTCTCGCGATCTACATAAAATATCGATTCTTTTCGACGTTCGGGAAAAATATCGACGAGTCACGAATACCCATGCACGAATCTCCCCTTCTCCTCCCTCCTCTTCTCCTTCCTCCTCTTGAATGAATCTTCGTCTTGCGACTATCTTTCTCCTCGGTGAAACCGGCTCCTCTCGATTTAACGAACGGCACCACAAAGGAGAGAAATCGTTATTTTCACGGCTCTACCCGATTTCGCGCTTGCATCCCTCGCTCCACGCACCCTCCGCTCCCCAACCGCCCCTGTCCCGCCTTCGAATCGGCCCTCTCTCAATCGCCGCCGTCCTTTTGCTCAATTTACCTCAAATTCGGCTTTCTACCCTATCCTTCTACATTGTTTTCGACGCTTCTTTCTTTTCCACGCTCTTTCCCACCGTCGATATACTTTCGCTCGATTCGTAACGGTCCTCTGAACGAACGTGGAGGATAGCGTGATCGTGAATTTTGTACTGCTCGGAAAGATGCATAGGTGTAAAGTTATATAATTTTTTCCTCCCCTTCCTCTTGCAATTAATCGAATTTGATCAGTAAACGATAAATTCCAATGCATTTGAATTTATAATCAACTTCTCTTCAGATTCGCATACTTATTTTCCCCAACGAACATGTAACATTATTATAATAAAGCAAATAGTTTCTTTTACCGATCAAACTTCTAGGTTTGTAAATTTTGAAAGGAAATTATATTAAGAGGATTAAGAAGGAATTTTCTATTATTCAAAATTACTTATTGCGTTGTAGAAGAAAAGGGGGAAGAGAAAAAAAATGTCGAAAAGAAACGAATCGAAAGAGCTCTCTCGATTTACCTGGCTGCATCGCAGCGGCTAAGATCGCATTAAGTCTCGTTCCATCTTCGTCCCGCGTATCACACGAGGCAGCCAGAATGTCTAAACGGCATCTGCGCCGTTTCTTCGTCGCCATTCTTACGTAAGGGAACGTATGACAATGAGAACCAACCACCCTTGTCTACGGGGGAGGAATGTCTGGCCCATTATTCCGCGCTACGTGCA